CTTCTCCCTCTCCCACTCCCCCTGCTTGTGTTCCCTCTCTTGCTGTCTCTCCCTGTCAAATAAAATCTTAAAAAAAACAAAAACAAAACTGAATTTTAAAACTTGCAAAAAAATTCAATCTCGAAGAAACTCAAGTTGAAACAATTATTTCTTATCTAACAAAATTGTAACTTTTAAAATGTTTATACTCAAAGGTGATCTGAGTGCTCTGGGATGCTTTCTTTTACATATGGAAATGGAATTACATGTTTATATAACCCTTTTGGAAAGCCATTCAGAAAGACTCTTTATATTAAAATTTTAATATCCCTTCTAGGATATAATCGGCAATGGATGGATTCAAAGGATAGATGGATTATATGTCATGGTGTTTATTCATAATTGCAAGTAATAATAAGCAGCCTGAATGGTCAACAATGGGGAAAAATATATAAGATTTATATAAAAGATTGCATGACCAAAGACAAGTTGAATAAAGGTGAGGATTCTTATACTCCCACACAGCAATACCTAAATAACCCTGGTAATTAAAATAGTGTAGTACTGACACTGGGACAGATAAAGTAACCAAGAAAACAAAAACTGAGAGTTAAGGAACAGCTGCCCACATATATGGAAGGCTATATAACAAAGGTGGCCTGGCAGATCAGTTGAGAAAAATGTGGAGCTAGGAGCTAGGAAAAACTAGTTAGGCAATAGGGGAAAAAGGGGATGACTATCACACACAAAAATTAACTTCAGCTGAATTAAAATTCAATGTCAACAACAAAACTTTGACTTTTCAGTGAAAATATAGGTGAATGACTTTCTAATCTTGGAAAGATTCCTTTTAAATGTCAGAAGTATTACTAGCTACAAGAGGAAAGATTAACAATTTCTGCACATCAAAAGGTATCTTTAAAAAAGTAAATACACAAGATACAAACTGGGAGATTTAGCAACACGTATCTGACATAAAGATAGCAACAAAGACATACAGAAATTCAAACAAGTACATGGCAATAGAGCAAATAACAGTAAGACACAGACATTTCACAAAAGAGGAAACATATGATCAATTTTACACTTGAAGAGCTGTCCAACCTCTTTAAAATTTGAGAAAGGCAGAGAGGTGGGTGGCGGATGGGTTAAATAGGTGACGGAACTAGGGAGTGCACTTGTGAGGAGTACTAGGTGATGTATGGAACTGCTGCATCACTGTACTGTATACACCTGAAACTAATATAACTGTGTTAACTGAATTAAAATAAAAACTTAAATAAAATTTGGGAAAGGCAAATCAAGACCATAAACCATTTTACATCATTCAAATAGCAAAATTCTCCAAGTGTGAAAATAACCAAGGGAGAATATATGGATCAGGGCTCTCTTACACAATGCTAATGGGAGTACTGATTGGTACAACCAGTTTGGAAAACAATTTGCCATTATCTTGTAAATCTGAACTTAGAGCCTATGATTTAAGATTTTATTTGAGAGAGAGAGAGCCATGCGCACATAAGAGGGGGAAGAGGGAGAGAGAAAATCTCAAGCAGACTCTGCGCAGAGCATGGACCCCAACACAGAGCTTTGATCCCATGACCCTGAGACCATAACCTGAGCTGAAATCAAGTTGACTTTTCTGTGAAAATATAGGGGAATGACTTTCTAATCTTGGAAAAGATTACCAACTGAACCACCCAGGTGCCCCAGAGTCTATGATTTGATCCCATTCCTATGGTATACCCAAGAGAAACTCTATTTGAGCCCAAGAATAGTCACAGCAGCACTATTTATAATGGCAAAAAACAACTCAGTGACAGGTAAATGAATAAATATACTGATATATTTACACAATGGACATCTATAGCAATGAAAAATAATGAACCACCAATACAAGCAGCTTCACAAATAAATCTTTATAGAAAGAAAATACAAAGGGGCACCTGGGTGGCTCAGTCAGTTAAGCAGCTGCCTTCAGGGTCCTGGGATCAAGTCCCACAGGGAGCCTGCTTCTCCCTCTCCCTTTGCTGCTGCTCCTGCTTATACTCTCTCTCTCTCAAATAAATCAATCTTAAAAAAAAAAAAAAGGAAAGAAAGAAAAAAAGTCCCAGAAGACTACTGTACAATATCCTTTTTATTATGTTCAAAACAAACTAAAGTAGGCAATATATTGTTTAACAATACATATGCAAAACAAACTATTTCAAAAAAGAAACAATAAAACACATTTCAGGGTGAATTACTTTTGCAGGGGAGATGGAGCGTGGGATGGGAGGAACACATAAGTAGATTAAGTTATTGGAAATATTTTAATTCTTTTGGGTTGGGAGGTGGGTTCATAGGTATCCTATTTTATAAGAAAAAAATAATACATAACCCTCATTGTGAATAAAGATTGTTGGGAAACTGGAATAATGAGTGATTTGTAGCTGTATCTTTTCCATGTTATAAGACAAAACTGAACATTAACTTTTTTTCTTAAGATTTTATTTATTTGTCAGAGAGAGAGAGAGAGAGGGCACAAGCAGGGGGAGCGGCAGTCAGAGGGAGAAGCAGGCTCCCTGCTGAGCAAGGAGCCCAATGGAGGGCTCAATCCTAGGACCCTGGGATCATGACCTGAGCTGACGGCAGACGCTTAACTGACTGAGCCACCCAGGCATCCCTGAACATTAACTTCTTTAAAAGTAAAAGAGAAATAAATTATTATTACCAACCTTTAATTCCATCCAACTGATTGGTATGCAGGAGCTTATTGGCTTGGTTATACTTCATAAACAACTGCCAGAACACAGAGTCCTCATTAGAGTACAGGTCAGTCACAGTGTTTTTTAACCCTTCCAAGTGCACCAATGCTGACAGAATACAATCTAACCAACAGAGAGAATTAGCGTTTTTCCACTGGACACATAAAGACTGGCAAAGTGATGTACATTTGCTCTCCAATGGCATTTCCAGTTCAGACGTGCATCCTTCATTTTGAGGAGAAATCACTCCAGTCCCAGAAACATCAACTGTAGTAGGATATTCTTCAGCAGCCATGTCTGTATCAGCCTCCAAAATCTCATTCTGTTCCAAGGAATCAGCTGTCCTAACTGGATTCTGTGGACCACTGTGTGGTAAATCAGGTAAGTGAGATGAGGTTTCATCATATGCTTCTCCATTATGTTTGCTGTTCAAAACTTGTCCACCATCAGTAACAATATGATTTTTAGTCTTTTTGGCATTTGCTAAAAGAGGTAAATCTTTATAGTTGGTTTCCAAGAACTTTCTTTTTTGAGGCTTATTTGTAGTGTGACAATCTTCCAAATCAGGAGAAATTAAGTTATTAAGTGATTTAGAGCCCAAAGGATAGATGCACTAGAAAGAAAAAGAAAATGATAACTACAAAAAATTCAAATAAGCTCAAGTTTTATAGTACAATTTCTACGTCATGAAAAATACGTATAAAATTTTAGCATCAATACAATTGTACCAATCTAAATTTAAAGGAACTAGGAATAAACAACTATTAAATAAAAATTTTGGCCCCCCAAAGCATAGTTTTCCCTAGTTAATTTGAACAATCAAGGGTTTAATCTGATCCACACTAGAGGAAGCTAAGAAGGAAAACATACATACTTTTAATAAAAAACCTAATATTTAGTGAATTAACAAATTTCAACAATTTAAAGAAACATGCTATGATGAGTGTTATTCTTTTTGGGACAGGTACACCGCATAACATTAAAAACTGGAAAAGTATTTTCATTTTGGGGGGGAAGTATTTTCAAATAAAAAAACTGCATTAGTAATTTCTGTGTTTCTTAATTTCAAAACAATATATTTTTTTTTTTTTTTTTTTTTTAA